AAGCCCAGCTCTACCACAATAGTTGTGTGACCTTGAACCTGTTACTTTAAAGGAAAAGGCCATTTCTTGAAAACAGACATCATGCCAGGAAGGGTAGATGGTCAAAGAATGAGGGAAGACCCTCAATGGATATATTGACCAAGTAAGTATAAAAGTGTGCTTGAGCACTTTCAGAGATTATGAAGATGGCACAGAATAGGGTACAGTTCAAATCTGTTGTTCATAGATCACTATGAGTCATGTTTGCCGTTATTGTTTGTAACAACTACTGCTTCAGTTCTCATGTAAATAGCCCAGTGCTTGATATATAATAAAGATAGTGGATTTTAAATTAGAATATCTCTTTATCCCACTTAATGGTTAATAAGTAGTTGATATTATTTTTTTTTTTTAAGTGAAACCAGTATTTCTTTTTTGTAGTGAAATTAAATGGTGGCAGACATGTCCAAGGAATATTACGAGGATTTGATCCCTTTATGAATCTTGTAATAGATGAATGTGTGGAGATGGCAACTAGTGGACAGCAAAACAATATTGGAATGGTGGTAAGTAAAAATAGAGGACTTTTGATATTTTATTTATACTTTAGGAATATGCCTTAATTTTTCTTCTGTCAAACTCTTGGATTTTGTAGGAGGAAAAAAATTACATTAGTGAGCCATGAAAAAGCAAACCATGGATACAGTTAGACTATCCATCCTCATTTTTGTTTAGCATATGGCAGGCATTCATCTGCAGTAATCCTGCTTATTTGCAACTGAGGACTGTTCAGAACACTCCCCGTACTTGATTTTGGCCCAATCTTGAAAATAATTTTTTGTCTTTACTCTGAGGTCTGTAATCTTTTTAATTAGAGGAGCAGTTCTTGGTTGCATTTTTTAATCATATTTGTCTGAGATGTTGACTAGAGATTGCCTTTGCGCCTTGGTGATTCTAATACAATTTAAGATAGAACAGATGTTTATAGGCAGCTGCTGTCCAGAGCATCAGTATTTGGAATATGCTGGCTATTCTGCAGGGAAAAGATGATCTCCCCCTGTAAAGATTGGTAACGTTAAAAACACAGTCAAGGGTTCCATGATTTGGAATAACAGTGAAGATTCAATATTGTAAAATGGTACGTGAGTGCACGAACTCTTGAGAGTTGTCTTTCTGTGGTTCCATGTTAGGTTGTAGGCATTTCTGTTACTACGTAGCTTTGTCCTTTTTGTAGACTTAGTCTTTGAGCAGCCCTTTTGAGAAAATGAGCATTGAGTACAGCAAAGGGAGCAATATCACATGGGATCCAGGACCTAGTGGTTTAAGCTAGGCTTCAAACACTGTAGCAAAAAAGAGAAATGTTCACTGGCCGATCTTTTCTGTATATTATATGAGAAAGCAAAAAAGTGTATACCACCCTTGTGGGAGAATGTTCTTGAAAATAGCAAAGTTTTATTGTTTTGTTGGGTTTGTTAATTGTTTTTTGTGATACTAAAAAGAAAAAAAAGGAAGCTCTCTTGCCTTGTAGTAAGGAGCTGCGCTGCCTACCCCAAGGCCTGGGGTTCAAGTCGACCACCTGCTTTGTTGGAGGAAGATGGGCAGTCTCCTCCTGCGTGATTCACTGCCTCTGAAAACCCACTAGAGGGTCAGCTGTGAGTCGCTTCTGACTCACCAGTAAATTAACAACAGGAAGAAAAAAAGCCCCTAGATCTGAAATGACTTCACTCCCAAGGCAAGTCTCTGTCATGGACATTTGAGAGGGAGCTGGAGAAAGGAAGGGTCCTTGTTTTCATGATACAGTCAGTGAATTTTGATGTTCATCATCTGCTAGGAATTTAAAAACTAAGTACACATGTTCACTAGCTTTTCCACGTTTCCATGGTTGACTTACAAATCAGTAAATTCTTTCTTGATCCGTTTCATTATTTGTTATCCCTAAACTCCCTCCTATTTTTTTTTATTAATCCAACTCCTTAATCTTGTCTGTGGTTTTATTCCCATGGACATTTTATCAGAGAAGTTCCTTATTTTTACCAACCCCTTGGCTTCTTCCAAAATGCCTTTGTAGCACAACAGTTGGCTGCATACTGAGAGGTCTGTAGCTCCTTGAAAAGGAAAAACATCTTGCCTAAAAAAAACAAGAAAGGGCAGTTCTACTTCCGTCTTGTGGAACATTTTTAAATCAAAATTAATTTTATGGCTCATGTTTAGGTTCCCTGCTAGTTTCACTTCCTTTCCTACTCATCTTGAGCTCAGTTATTCACTGTTCTACTTGTCTTCTCATAGGTAAGCTTGCTTTATGCGCGGTCTGCTGTCTTGAGCACTGTCTCCCTAGGACCTTTCCTTTCTTACTTTTCTCTTTCCATTTTTTTCCCATTCAGATGCTTACACTGTTGCCTAGTTATGATGGTCATTCCCCTAGTGTGAAGCTTTGGCTGGCACATTGTTGACCTTTGATGCCCTCCAAACACTAACCTGGCATTTGAAGTCATCTGTGATTGGCTTCAAGTTATCTTTTGTATCCTGTTTCCCATCATACTCAAATTGGATTGCTTATCCTTTGTGTACTTTTCTTAATTCTGTTTTGCATTCCTTTCTTCCTGTCAGAATTGTAGGAAACTTTCAAAAGCCAACTAAAATACTACTTTCATAAAGCTGCCTTAAGCAGCTTTTAGTCCTTTTGTTCCCTAAATGATCTCATATCCCTTAACTGACACACACTATTATTTTCCTGTTACCTTCTCTTTATCCAGGGGATGAAGGGGCATGTCTATTTGGGTTCAATATAATGAGTTAGAGGAGACTTGGCATACCATCTCAAAATGTATATTTGTTCCGGAAGATGGACATCTCACCTAAAGAGGGTTTAGTGGCTTCAGGTCAATAATTAGTCTTCCTTTGGTTTGGAGAAAACTCAGATATTGACATGTAAGATTAAGAAAGCAGTGATTTGGTGGGAATTTGCTCATCTTCACTAATACATCTATTGAGTGAATTCTATTCTTTTCTCTCATAGGTAATACGAGGAAATAGTATCATCATGTTAGAAGCCTTGGAACGTGTATGAATAATGACTGCCTAGCAGAGAAATCAGTTGCTTCCACATTTCCCTTCTCCCAAGGACTTGTTTTACTATGATATAAAAACCAAGCTTTATACATTCTTCATATTAATATTTGTTCAATAAACTTTTGTAGTAGTACCAAATGCTTCCTCTTGGGTGCTCTAAATATAGAAATTTATGAGCTTTTATTCTCTTTTATCCTGGTACAAATTTTACATGGTACTTTTGAGACTGATTGCAGTATAGGTATTAAGTGTTTGTTACAACTGAAACATAGCAAAGATTTTTTTTCTCCAGTAAGTATAATACAGTAGTAGCAAAAAACAGAATGTTGTAGTCATTTATTTTTAATCATTAAATGGGATTTAAAAAAAAAAAAAAGACTAGAAATAGCATTGATTCCAGAGAAAGGCATTCCATTGTGTTTCAGTTCATTCTTTGTGGAGTAGAGAGAGGGTATACGTAAAGGGAGCTCTGCTGGCTTAAGGGTAAGGAGTTGAGCTGCCAACCCAAAGGCATGCAGTTTGAATCCACCACTGCTCCATGGGAAAAAGAGGGGGGCAGTGTGCTGTCATCTGCCACTGAAAACCTGCTGGAGGGTCAGCTGTGAGTCAACTTTGACTTGACAGTACATAACAATATCTGTCTAAAATAGTTCTTCCTGTTAGAGAAATACTTGACAGCTTAAGAGATAGAAGATTCAAAGAGTCACGTTAAGGAAAGTTGGCATGAACTCAAATACATTTCCATTTTCCCTTGTTCATAGCAAGCATCCAGGTGGTGGAATCCATTCTGACTTAAGATCATTTGTATCTTTAAATTGAACTGTATTACTTGTAAACCAGGGACTATAAATACTAAATGTAGAAATCTCAAGTTTGCATTAATAGAAGTATTTGGGAAGCTTTAAAGCTCTTAACAGTTCCTCAATAGAGGAACTGTTAAGAGTTAATAATTGCGTTAAAGTATGATTTCATCAATGTCTCTCACTGGGAAACATTTAACACAACATTCTGGATTTGTTAAATCTGCTATCATTCTACCCTGCCAGCCCCCCTGCAGTGAACCTCTTCTGTGACGATAGTGTTAATGCTATTAGAGCTCTCTGAAAATATTTTGTAAAAAGGATCTACTCTGGATTAGGACTTTATAGTCTAAAACATTTTGTACAGGAAGTATTTTTTTTAACCAAAAGTAGTTGAGGTCCATTAGTGAATTTTTACATTGATTTTCAACTCAAGCTGTACATCAAAATCGTTACTTTAAGAAGGTATAATGCTCCAGCCCTGTTCCCAATCCACGAAGTTGGAATCTAGTAACAGATTGTACTACAAAGACTTCTAAATTTCATCCTAATACATAACATCCTGACATGGCTTTTAGTAGGGGCACATTTGCTGTGGAAAAGGTTATAAAAAGTAGTGAAGTGGCCACCACACACAATGTCAGAGAACTCTGGATCTCGAATCCAGTTTGAGAGACCATACAACTTTTTAAACATCTGTTAAAATATTTTTTTAAAGTTGAAATGAAGGTGGGATAGTTGAACAAAAATTGCTTAAATCAGTAATGTATACTGGCTTTTCATTTTATGAGAGACTTGTATGACATCGATCATACTAGAAAGACTTGTAAATTTTATCCTAATATAACAACAGCTGGATGATCAGGGCTAAAATGGCCAGCTCTGCGGCTCAAATGATCTAGCTCACAACAAAGAGAGCCAAACAAAGGTCCAGCCACCTGCTGAGCAAGAATCAGAGCAGTTTGAGAAGCTGGTGTATTCACCAAATCCCAGAAGATTCTTAAATCCAAGATGGTTGAAAAATACTGCTAATGTGGACTGAAAAAGAGTGGGGAAACTTTGGACATGGCTAAGTGTGAATTATGCCTTCTTAATTAGAACTTGAAATTCTTCTCATGATCCATAGGGATTATTCTGTTCAAAACAATGTTGTTATAGTTCTGTCTTGAGTTTTTCATATAAGCCTTCCTGGTCAATCATGTCTGTGTGCCCATTCCAGCGGTGATAGGCCAGAAGAGCTGTGTTGTAACCTGCAATGGCGCTCATTTCCATGGCACTTGCCGCAAACTCGATGCCATTGAGATAATAAAGCCGATCATGGAGAATGATGGAAGGGCATTTCTCTGGAGGTGTGTAGTGAGGGTATGCTAGCCATGGCTTTTTTACAGCATAATCATAAGATAAAAAGAGCTTTGAAATTTGCTGTTTAGTAAGAATGTCCTGGGAAAAGATCTTCCACACGTTTTTCCCATCTGTTGGTTCAAGATGATCCTTTGCTTTTACAGGGTGCTGCATCCCAATGCTGTAGATGAACAAATCAGGATTATCAGTGGTTAAAATTGCACTGAGATCAAAATTATCTAAAGCTCTAGAGCTGAAGAGAGTTGTATTCAATTGTCCCTTAATTAAAGTTGTTACTAAAGGTTGATAGTATTGATGGAAGTCTGCAATTGGAGGATCAAAGTTGAGGAAAGTAATATTGGACATTTTTTGATGCAGTGGAGTGGCCACCAACACGATGTCATAGAAACCCGAGTGGATCTCAGATCCAATTTGATAGACCACTTCATACATCTTGCTGGGATTTCCTGGAAAAAAAAAAAATAAAACATACACTTCTTCAGTGTTGATAACTTTTTTTTTTTTCATTTTTATTATTTTTATGAGTACTGTCAAATCAGATCTGACTGGTACAGGAGGAGACTGCCCCCTCCAGCAGAGCATCTGGTAGATTTTAACCACATAGCCCTAGGCCACCAGAGCTCCCTGTTTATAACATTTTTATACGTTCTAAAAATAATTCTATACCATCAGAAGAGTTTTTTATACTTTTAAAAGATTAAAGGAGTTTTATCGCATAAGATTAACAATCCCTTGTATTTTTATTACATTGAAATAAATTTCCTACTGAAGATGAAAGTGTCTTAGCTACAAATACAAATACAAAAGAAATTTTTACTTCTAAGGACAGAACTGTCGAGTCAGATCTGACTGGTGGAGGAGATTGTCCCTCCTCCAGCGGAGCATCTGGTGGATTCAAACCATGTGCCTTCTGGATTGCAGCTTCTTGCCAAAAGGCCACCAGAGCTCCCTCAGAATTGTTTTTTAGATCTACAGTCATGCATGTATTTGAGGCACAAGTGGGAGTATTAATGTATGATACAACATATGCCAATTAAGTTTCCATCACTTGGAACAATGAAAGATGTCAAAAGAGAAGAGTTTCTCCCTGATAAATCATATTCTGCAGTAAATTTTAAAATAGAAGAGTTTAAACTTACCTGCCTGCTTTGTCTTTTTTTTCTCCTCTATGGACATTACTGAGCCACGTAAAAGATTACTTTTGGAAGCTTGAAGGAGCCCTGAGCAAACAAGTTTATTGCCACCTTCCACTGCCCAAAGGCCTGATCCGGCACTAGAAAGTGATACTGCTCCTGTCAGCAGGAGAGAAAAACATGTTAATTCTGACTGTAGGAGGCCTACCTTCTCTTACTAATTGGATAAGTTCTTCAGGTCAAATGCAATTTGGTCTTTCTAGGAATCTAGTGAAAGGGTTAGCTACATGATTTTCAGGATTTCATGGAAAATTAAAATGCAGAGTCCTTCAATAAAGAATTTCGAGATGCTGATGGCAGACCATTATACTAAGCAAAAGGCTTTTCTTCAAGCAAGACCCTGTTGCACATATCTCATGCCCATGGAGCCAGCCCTGCATCTGATACTGAAAATTGCTGAGTCACAAAGGATCTGGTCGCAAAATCACTCTGGTACAACAAAAAGTGTTACCAGTACTTAAAACCAAAATTCCTGCTTGACTGACTAAATCTTATCTTCCAAGTCATAACAGCAACTAGTTCATATTGAATCTTCTAAAAACAGTTTGTGAGGAAGTTTTACTTACATTTCCATTTGCTGTTTGTTTTGGAGCAGCCAAGCAGGTTATCTCAATGTCATTCGTTGCCATCATGTCAGCTCCAACCCAAAAAGACCCTACATTCAAGAAAACAGCACCCTGGCCTATTCTATGCTATGCTTAAGCCTGCTGCTGTTCAGTCATTGTGTCAGTCCAACTCATTGAGAGTCTTCTTTTGTGCTAACACTCTACTTTTCCAAACATGATGCCATTTTCCAGGGACTGGCACTGCCTAATAATATCCCTACAGTATGTGAGACAAAGTCTTACCACCTTTGCCTCCAAGGAGCACTTCAATTGCACATCCTCCAAGATAGATCTATTTTATCTTCTCAAAATCTGCAATATATTCAGTACTTCTCATCAGGACCACAATTCAAAAGCATCCGTTCTTAAAGTCTTCTTTATTCACTGTCCAACTTTCACATACAATTTAGTCTTTAAACTGACATCCTTGCTCTTTACCCTTTAAAGAGGTCTCTGATAAACTTTGCCAGTGCAATACATCATCTGATTAATTGCTGCTACTATAGGAGTAGAAGGTGGATCAAAGTAAAATGAAACCCTTAACTTCAGTATTTTCTCCATTTATCACAATACTACTTATTGATCCTAGTGTTAGAATTCTTTTTGGGGGGGGCGGTTAGGGTGGCTCCTCCAGGATGAGAATTCTTTTTTACGTTTCCATGTAATCCATACTGAAACTTGTCTGTAGTCCTTGATCTTCAGTGTTTTCAGTTCACTTTCTGCAATGCAAGCAGTATTATGTTACCTGCATAGCAGAGGTTGTTGAGTCTTCCTCCAATCCTGATGCCACATTCTTCTTCATATAGTCCAGCTTCTCAATCATTTGCTCAGCATGTATGGCGGAAAATACAACCTTTATGCATAACTTTCCTTGTTTTTTTACCATGCAACATACCATTATTCTGGTCAAATGACTGCTTCTTGGTCCATGTACAGGTTCCAGAGGAGTGCAGCTAAGTGTTTTGTGATTTCCATTCCATTTGGTGTTAGTTAAAATTGACAGATATTATCATCTAAATTATGAGTGTGAGTTGCATTGTCAACTCAAAGGCAAATGGTTCAAATCCACGAACTACTCCTCAGGATAAAGATGGGCAATCTTCCATGCAACTTAGAGCCTCTGAAAACCCGCTGGTGCGTCAGCTATGAGTCGGTTCCACCTCCACAGCAATGAGAAAGGGCATCTATATCAGTGGCTTCTAACTTCTGAAGGGTCATAAACCCTTTGAAATTCTCATACATGGTTTCTCAACCTTAGTGTTATTGATAGTGCCCCACATGCCTTAAAAAAATACATAAGCACAACTTTATTCTGAATAAATCATACAGTAATTACTGAGGATGTCCATTAATTTACTTAAAATCAAATTATTAACATAAACACGGTTGTTGTGGTGGTGGTGGTTGTGCTGTCGAGTCGCTTGCGACTCATAGCGACCCTATGTACAACAGCTCTAAACTCTGCTCTGTCCTGTGCCAATCTCACTGTCTCCGACACACTCATCCCAACTGCCCCAGTCACCGAATCATTCCATCTCCTAGAGGGCCTTCCCCTCCTGCGCTGTCCCTCCACCCTCCCAAGCATGACGTCTTTCTCCAAAGACCGGTCTCTCCTTACAACATGACCAAAGTATGTCAGACGAAGTCTCAGAATCCTTGCCTCCAAGGAGCAGCCTGGTTTAACCCTCTCCAGGATAAATCTGTTTGTTTTCTTAGCAGTCCATGGTAACCTCAGCACTCTTCTCCAACACCAAAGCTCAAAGGCATCAATTCTCCTTCTGTCCTCCCTGGTCATTGTGCAGCTCTCTGAAACATAACAAGTGATTGAAAAGACCATGGCCTGTACCAGACGCACCTTAGTCTCTAGAGACACACCATTGCTCTTGAGTACTTTAGAGAGGTCCCTAACAGCAGACATGATAAACATGGTAATAATAAAAAACTAAGAAATTTGCAAAGCTGTAAAAATAATGTGTTATGATGTTCCATAGAGTTGGAACTGATTTGCAGGTGACCCTCTACTGGGTTTTCGGAGGCTGTAAATCACACAAGTGGAGAGTGCATCTTCAGTGGAGAACTGGTAGGTTTGAACTGTGTACCTCTGAATTGGCAGTGCAACTCTTTACCACTTGGTCACCATAGGTCTCTGCCTAATTTGGTGTTTAAAAATTACACTGATATAGTCCATATGGTCTCTTAAAAAGTGACACAATTTTAGAAGTAGATAGGTATTGGCTTTTGTTGGGTTGTTGTGTTGGTTTTTTGTTCTTTTTTTTTCTTGTGTACATTCTTGATTTCAGATACTTATAAAATATTAAGTTATTGCTCAGGGCAACAGCCAAGATGACCCCATGCAGAAACTGAGAGACTATATACACAACTTTATAGAACAATGGGAAGCAGAGAATATGGTTCTGAGCAGACATAAGGAAGAGAAGAAAACTGGGAAGGGAAGTGCCCATCTGAGTCAAACCTGAGTCGCCAGCAGGGCAAATCTTGTGTTTTTCACAGAAATAGAAGCTGGTTTTGGAAGGTTCCTGTACAGCACAGGGGTCCATGTGTCTTCTTGACTACACCCTTGGTTGTGGAGCCATTAGGTCAATGTCACTCAAACTTCTGGCCAGCCAAACTCCTGCAGCAAAAGGTCCCAAACTGAGGATCAAATTCCTCCAGAAATCATTCCAATAGGTGGCGAAGTGGTAGACGTCTAGAAGCCAATCTCCTACGTTGTCTGGGATATCAGGAGTTTCATTTGTCAATCCTGCAGCACTCACGCCGAGCCCACCAGAAGCCATAGTAGCACCTTCAGCTAGATAGTATTTTTAAGGAGGTGAAAGAAAGAATACTTTAGAGCATCCCTGACAGTAATTCTTTCGGCTGGGTCATATTCCAACATTTTCTGAATGAGGTCAAACAGAAGCTCATGTTCAGCATCCTGAGAAAGCACAAATTCTTTCAGAGGTTTGCAATGTCTTAAAACTTATCTGCCAGCAGAACTGTCCTCATCCCTAATTGATTGTCTAATCGATCATGATGGAAGTATTACATTTCCTGGTTTTCTATATTATATGTTTTGGTAAAGGTCCATTAATTCTTTCCATCGTTGCAAAGTGCTCCTTACTGTCCTAAATTGGAAATACTGTAAACTGAATTCAATAAGAATACCAACAGATGCCTTTTAATGCTGAATTAGTAGAAAGCCCGTTGCCCCAGTTTTCCCTGAGTTCAGTCTCAGGGGTTCTGCTCCAAATGTCTACAGCCATTTCTAACTGCCATGCTTCCAGCACTGCTACCACCGTGCCCCCTCCCTTTTAGAACCACTGTGCAAATTATAAATAAGGACCTTCTCTCCATTAAAAACTATCTACAGTAATTTTGCCAATAATTACTAAGAAATGTAGCATTCTGTAACCTGTGGCCTAAAATGTCTGCAGCTATTCTAGCATCAGGTAAACCCCTCTGTAAACTAATGTCCCTTACAATTCCCTGGCTTACCCACAAAGCCGTTGATGTCCAAGCTTTGGGCATAATTAACCCTCATAACAGGAGTAACAATTTCATTGAGGAATTTTTCAGAGAAGCCTGCTTTCTCCAGGGTGTCAAGAAGAGTTCGATTAAACATTCCAACAAACTCGTCCCCTCCCAGAGCATGCAGTAACTTCTCTACACTACTGAAGGCATAGTCATGAGACTGGTAACGGTAGATCCTTTGAAAAAAAGAAGAAAAATGTCCATTAAACACCAAACACAAAACGGAAGGAGAAGGTAGGTAAAAAAGGGAAATAGGACTCTAAAATAGAAACTTTGAAGTTCCCTGATGTGTTTCCATCTATCTGATATGTAAGGCAAAGTTTAGTTATCATCTTAAGTAAAACCTTTCTCAGCTCTCAATGGCTGTTCCAAGGAAAAAGTTGGGCAATCTCCTCCCATGGGATTAACAGTCTCTGAAATCTGCTGGAGGATCTGCTATCAGATCTCACTCGATGGCAGCAAAGGAATTTGGTCTTGACTCTTAACCCTGAGAGATAACTCTAAACTTTTGAAATGTACCAGGTTATTGAGGACCTTCTGATATCTGAGACCTCTAAATCAGACCTAACAGTTTGTACTAAGAAGATAGTGCTGACCAAGCTAGAAAGACATTAATATCAACTGAACTTGGCCTAATTTCAATTGGACTTAGGAAATTGTGATGTAATTTCAACTGAATGTAGCCAAATATCATCAACTGAATTGGCTGAGTCATTGCATGACTTAGGCAATCAATCATGCCATGTGGTCTCAGTAAGGGATCTTGAAAGACAAGTATCCTGTGCTTCCTTGTTGGTGAAAAATGCAAACAATGGTACTAAGTACACAGAACAGACCATCAGCTACCTAAGTGCAAGTTCAAATTGAAGCTGAAGAAAATTCTAATCCAAATGAACCAAAATACAATCTCCAGTCTCTCCCACCTGAAAAACCACTGCAAGAATAGATTTAAGGCACAGAACACTAAATATTGAAGACCAGGTGAGCTGTGGAACAGAAGGAAGAAAAACCAAAATGGATGTCAGAAGAAACTCTGAAAAGAGCACCAGAGCATCAAGAGGCCAAAACAGAAAAAATTGCAAAGCAAAAAAAAAAACAAAAACCGCTAAATAGAAGATCCGAAAGGCAGCTCGAGAATAAAAAACAAAGTATTAAAATAAAATGTGCAAATAACTAGAGTAAAACAAGAAGAACTTTCTCAGCATTTCTTAAACTTCGAGATCTAAAAGACAAAGTCAAGCCTCGAGCTTAAGTATTGAAGGATTCTATGGGCAAAATCTTGAATGATCCAGGAGAAAGACGATGGAAGGAATACTCAGAGTCACTGTACCAAGCAGAATCATTTCAGGAAGAAGCATATATCAAGAACCAAGGTTTATAAAGGAAGAAGTTCAGGCTACACTGAAGGCATTGGTAAAAAATAAGATCTCAGGAATTGAGGAAATACTAATTGATATATTCCAACAAACAGATGTAGCCCTCAATGCCAAGAAACCTATAGAACAGGAGGCAATCCATATTTATACTCATTCTCAAAAAAGTGATCAAAAGATTATCAAAATTAGTATCACCTACAAGCAAAATCTTACTAAAGACTATTCAAAAACAGGTAGAACAGTACACTGACATAGAATTGCCAGAACTTCAAGCTGGATTCTGAAGAGGCTGTGACACCATGGACATCAGAAAGAAGAACATACCTGAAAGATGTCCTTCTTTGTTTTATTGACTAAATAAAAGCCATTTGACTGTTGCTAACAAGGAGAAGAGTGGGGGTCCCAGGATACTAAATTCTGCTCATGGAAAACCTATACCTAGACCAAAAAGCTCTTATTAGAACAGAGCAAGGGAACACTGCATGGTTCAAAATCAAGAAGGGTGGGTGGGCATCAAGAGAGTATCCTTTCTTCATACCTATTAAATTTGAGGCTGAACAGATCATTTGGGAAGCTGGACTATATGAAGCAGAATGTGACATCAGTATCAGAGGAAGACGCATCAACAACCTGCATTCTGCATGATGCAACTTTGCTTGCTGAAAGTGAGGGAGGTCTTGAAGCACTTGCTGCAGAATGAAGGAGGCTTATAGACTTCCCTGGCTTGCAATTGGTGTGCTAAGAGAATCGAGGGAAGTGCTGAATTTTTAGCCAGCAGCTCAGACGTATGGGTGCCTGGGGACTCCCAAATTTTGACAGACATCCAGTCTTGGGCCTATGTGGGAATCTGGAGGACTTTAACTTATGAGCTGTGCTATTTCACTTACATGGTTAGGGTTCAAAGAAGTCATTTCAATGAGTGAGCAGCTGGTATCAAAATGGACAAAAAGTGTAAAGTGGGAATTCAAATGCTAAAGATATGCTAAAAACCAAACCCACTGCTGAGAAGTCAATTCTATTCCAACTCGGGACAAAGTAGAACTCCCCCAGAAGGTTTCCAAGTCTGGGTGGTCAAACTTCTAAACTTCTGAGTAGCAACTGTATGCTTAAGCATTGTGCCTACAGGACTCCTCAGCATGGGGTGCGGGGGGTGGGGGGATGTCAAGTCGGAAAACAGAATGACACTTTGGAAGCTTTAAGTGGCACAGAAGGAAACTGCCTATCTTTGTCCCTCATAGCAGCTGGTGGACTGAAACAGTGTGCTGTGGTGACAGCACGGCTCTCTACCCAGAAGGCCACCAGGGCTCCCTGTTAGCCTCAGGGTTATTTATTTTTTTTAAAGTGGGCTTGTTTTTCAACCATATGTAGGCAGAAGGATAAAAAAAAATACACAAGAGACCCAAGTGCCTACACTTGTACAAGATAAAATAAAAATTATTGGAAACAAAAAAATAGAATGATAAAATAGTTAATTCATCCAAAGAACCTAACAGTTAAAATTTGCATGCAACTAATAACAACGGTTCTAAAATACATGAAACAAAATTGAGAGAGTTGAAGGGAGAAAAAGATACTGAAATTTCAATAATTCACTCTGAGTAATGGACAACAGAACTAGAAATATAAAAAAGGATGGGGAACCCTACGTCTGTTGTATCTTCAAAGTCCTGGTACAGACTGTGGCTCTCTTGAGGAACAAGTTAGTTGAACCAAGGACTTAAAAAAAAAACCCACTCTGGAAATCGGGAGTGTACAAGAGTAAAAGCAGAGTCAGGAAGTAATGTGTTGCAATTACTGTTGTGACAAAACTACCACAAACTCTAGTTTAAACATAAACTTATTTTATAATGCTGGCAATCAGAAGTTCAAAGGAACACATTTACAAATTCTAGAGGTTAGCTATATGGTGTTGCTAAAAAATACTAAACATATGCCTGGCCTATTAGAAAAACAATTTTGTCTTGGAAAAAATAGAGGTAGAATATTCCTTAGAACGGGAGAAGATCTCACATAGTCATCTCACTTTGAGCTTGCTGTCAGGGAACTAATCCCTGGAGAGGGACATCAGTGAGAAATTGGAAGACCTTTAAAGAAATGGATTAACAGAGTGGCTGCAACAATGGACACAAACATAGCAACAGTTGTGAAGATGGCCCAGGATGGGGCAATGTTTACTTCTGTTGTACAAGGGATTGTTCTGAGATAGAATTTATTCACTGCACCTAATGACAACAAATTGGGAGCAGGAATGGCATCCGCTTCCCAAATAACATGCCTCCAGACACTCTATGAACTTTGATAAATGTCGACGGTTTTAAGAGGGGCTTCAGGCCTTTTGTTTATGAGGTCACTATGAGTTGTGCTTAACTTGAAGGCAATCAAAAACAACAACGACAAAAAGATTAAAACAATCTGGAGGGGCCTTAGTTTGGTCTACTAAGGGAGCTCTGGTGGCGTAATGGGTAAGAAGTTGTGCTGCCAACTCAAAGGCAAACTGTTCAAATCCACCAGCCGCTCCTCAGAGGACGGAGTCTCCTTCAGTGTAATTTATAGCTTCTGAAAACTTGATGGAGGTTCAGCAGAGTCGTTTCTGACATGACGGCTAAGTGTGAGTGAGCTATTCAATCTACTAATGGAGGCTCCTGCAGCAATCCCGACAAGACCAGAAAATAGTGGGTGTCATAGCAGTATTAAGAAGCGGTAAAATTCTGGACATATTTTAACGATGGGGTTGATATTCAAGGTAGACTGAATTTGAGAAATTCGAGAAAGCAAAGAATAACCTTACTAGGCTTTGAGAATACTGTATTTTTCATAATTGGAAGTTTGTGACAACCCTTCATCAATCCATTGGTGCTATTTTCCCAACAGCATGTGCTCAGTTTGACTGTGTGTCACATTTATGTAATTATCACAATTCAAATTTTTTCATAAAGCTAATTGACACTTCTTCTTCTTATGTGCCATCGAGTTGCTTGACTCATAGTGACCATATGTACAACAGCCTGCTCTGTCCTGCCAATATGACACATCCACCCCGATTACCCCTGTCACTGAATCAATCTACCTCACAAAGAACCTTCCCCTCCTGCTCTGTCCCTCCACCCTCCCAAGCATGATGTCCCTCTTTAAGGACTGGCCCCTCCTTGCAACATGTCCAAAGTATGTCATATGAAGCTTCAAAATCCTTGCCTCCAAGGAGCAGCCTGGTTTAATTCTCTCCCGGATGAACCTGTTTGTTTTCTTAGCAGTCCATGGTACATTCAATACTCTTCTCCAGCACCACAGCTCAAAGGCATCAATTCTTCTATCCTCCCTAGTCATTGTCCAACTCTCTGACACATAACAACTGATTGCAAAGACCATGACCTGTATCAGGTGCACCTTAGTCTCCAGAATGAAACCACTGCTCTTCAGTACTTTGGAGAGGTCCCTAACAGCAGACTTTCCCATGGCAATGCACCTTTTAATTTCCTGGCTCCTCGTGACTGTGGAGCCAAGCAAACTAAAGCTGTGAACAATCTCAATCAATCTCAATCTCTTCCGCATCCATCTGATGCTGCCAATTGGTTCAGTGGTGAGAATCTTTGTCTTCTTGATATTGAGCCTCAATCCATATTGAAGGCTGCAGTTCTTGACCCTCTGCAGCCAGTGCTTCGGGTCCTCCTCACTTTCAGCAAGCAGGGTTGTATCATCTGCATAACACAGATTGTTGACGGATCTTCCACCAATCCTGATACCACACTTCTCCTCATACAGCCCAGCCTCCCGGATAATCCGTTCTGCATACAGGTTGAAAA